ATGTACAAACGACGCTGCGCGTGATTTGATTCATAGCGTAGTTAATGTTGTAGCGTAGCTTCTTCTGAGGCCAGTTTTCATTACTTTCATGACTGTCTTTCTTATATCGCTATGCACTCCACTAAACACGGCTGATACTTAGTTATTATTGCTTAACAAGTAGATACGTCTTTCCGTTTTTTTCGTTTGGAGACTGAAAATATATCCCAAAGCATTTATGTTCCCCCCGTGCAACTAAAATTGTATGAATTTATGGACCAGTGACAGGCCATGGACCAGTGACACGCCATGGACCAGTGGACAACGCCTGGACACGTCATGGACCAGTGACACGCCTTGACGTGTCCGGGCGTGTCACTGGTTCATGGCGTGTCCAGGCGTGTCACTGGTCCACAGGCGTGTCACTGGTCCATGGCGTGTCCAGGCGTGTCACTGGTCCATGACGTGTCCAAGGCGTGTCACTGGTCCATGGCGTGTCCGGGCGTATCACTGGTCCATGACGTGTCTGGGGCTATGTCACTGGTCCATGGCATGTCCAGGCGTGTCACTGGTCCATGACGTGTCTATGGCGTGTCCAGGTGTGTCACTGCTCCGTGACGTGTCCACGGCGTGTCACTGGTCCATGGCGTGTCCAGGCGTGTCACTGGTCCATGACGTGTCTGGGGTGTGAGCAGCCTGGACACGCCATGGACCAGTGACACGCCATGGACCAGTGACACATCATGGACCAGTGACACGCCTGGACACGCCACGGACCAATGACACGCTTGGACACGCCACGCCTGGACACGCCATGGACCAGTGACACGCCACGCCGTGTCACTGGTCCATGGCGTGTCCTGGCGTGTCACTGGTCCATGGCGTGTCCGGGCGTGTCACTGGTCCATGGCGTGTACGGGCGTGTCACTGGTCCATGGCGTGTCCGGGCGTGTCACTGGTCCATGCCGTGTCACTGGTCCATGGCGTGTCACTGGTCCATGGCGTGTCCAGGCGTGTCACTGGTCCATGGCGTGTCCAGGCGTGTCACTGCTCCGTGACGTGTCCACGGTGTGTCACAGGTCCATGGCGTGTCACTGGTCCATGGCGTGTCACTGGTCCATGGCGTGTCCGGGCGTGTCACTGGTCCATGGCGTGTCCAGGCGTGTCACTGGTCCATGACGTGTCCACGGTGTGTCACAGGTCCATGACGTGTCCATAGCGTGTCACTGGTCCACGGCGTGTCACTGGTCCATGGCTTGTCACTGGTCCATGGCGTGTCACTGGTCCATGACGTGTCCACGGTGTGTCACAGGTCCATGACGTGTCCACGACGTGTCACTGGTCCATGGCATGTCCGGGCGTGTCACTGGTCCATGACGTGTCCATGGCGTGTCACTGGTCCATGTTGTGTCCAGGCATGTCACTGGTCCATGACGTGTCCACGGCGTGTCCAGGTGTGAGCAGCCCGGACACGTCATGGACCAGTGAGTCGCCTGGACACGCCATGGACCAGTGACACGCCATTGACCAGTGACACGCCTGGACACGTCATGGACCAGTGACACGCCATGGACACATCATGGACCAGTGACACGCCATGGACACGTCATGGACCAGTGACACGCCTGGACACGCCATGGACCAGTGAAACGCCATGGACCAGTGACACGCCTGGACACGCCATGGACCAGTGACACGCCATGGACACATCATGGACCAGTGACACGCCATGGACACGTCATGGACCAGTGACACGCCTGGACACGCCATGGACCAGTGAAACGCCATGGACCAGTGAACGCCATGGACCAGTGACACCCTGGACACGCCATGGACCAGTGACACGCCTGGACACGCCATGGACCAGTGACACGCCTGGACACGTCATAGACCAGTGACACGCCATGGACACATCATGGACCAGTGACACGCCATGGACACGTCATGGACCAGTGACACGCCTGGACACGCCATGGACCAGTGACACGCCATGGACCAGTGACAGGCCATGGACCAGTGACACGCCATGGACCAGTGACACGCCTGGACACGTCATGGACCAGTGACACGCCTTGACGTGTCCGGGCGTGTCACTGGTTCATGGCGTGTCCAGGCGTGTCACTGGTCCATGGCGTGTCCAGGCGTGTCACTGGTCCATGGCGTGTCCAGGCGTGTCCACTGGTCCATGACGTGTCCAAGGCGTGTCACTGGTCCATGGCGTGTCCGGGCGTATCACTGGTCCATGACGTGTCTGGGCATGTCACTGGTCCATGGCATGTCCAGGCGTGTCACTGGTCCATGACGTGTCTATGGCGTGTCCAGGTGTGTCACTGCTCCGTGACGTGTCCACGGCGTGTCACTGGTCCATGGCGTGTCCAGGCGTGTCACTGGTCCATGACGTGTCTGGGTGTGAGCAGCCTGGACACGCCATGGACCAGTGACACGCCATGGACCAGTGACACATCATGGACCAGTGACACGCCACGGACCAATGACACGCCCGGACACGCCATGGACCAATGACACGCCTGGACACGCCATGGACCAGTGACACGCCTGGACACGTCATGGACCAGTGACACGTCATGGACCAGTGACACGCCATGGACCAGTGACACGTCATGGACCAGTGACACGCCATGGACCAGTGACACATGGACCATGACACGCATGGACCAGTGACACGCCATGGACCAGTGACACATCATGGACCAGTGACACGCCATGGACCAGTTACACGCCATGGACACTTCATGGACCAGTGACACGCCGTAAACACGCCATGGACCAGTGACACGCCTGGACACGTCATGGACCAGTGACACGTCATGGACCAGTGACACGCCATGGACCAGTGACACACCTTAGACCAGTGTCACACCTGGACACGCCTTAGACCAGTGACACACCTGGACACGCCTTAGACCAGTGACACACCTGGTGGGGAAGTGATTAGGAGTGGGCAAAAATATATCGTAGACAATAATTTCGTGAACGCCAATTTGAAGATATGCTTTATTGTATTATCTTTTTTATTTTCCAATACATATTACAATTAGAGAAGGAAAGATGCCCATTGGTCTAATGTGTGCCTAAAAAGCCAATCACTGCTTTATTTGTACATTTCAGTAAATATTGAGCCTTTTTGGATGTGTTTTTTCTGTCTTTCTTGAATCTGATTTTTAATGTTAATATATGTTAATGCATGTTTTGCAAAGATGTGTGTAGCACTTCAGAAAATAAAAAGCTTCATTTTTGATCTACACTGTCTCTTATCTATAGATTCCATGGCAAGCAAAACATTGCAGATCATTTTGTGTAACCATTTTTTATTTTAAAGATATAGTGACAATGTCGTTATCGGGAGTTGGGTATAATTTATCAAGATATTTATTTTTGTCCATATCGCCCACCCCTAGATGTGATGCATGCTTGCAGATTGGCAGTTGAGTTCTGGTGGATACAGATATAGTTTGTGTGTGATTGACACGTCTCTGTTGGTAAGAGGCAGTTATGTCTGTAAACCTTTTGTTGCTTGATCTCATTTTCTTTTAGAATGGAGTGATTGTAGATGTACCATCTATTTAAGTGCAGGATAGAGACGGTGAAGCCAGTTGAAACTAGGAATAACTGGAATTCAGTGAAGGTATCAAGGGAATACATGACAAAGTTTGGCAGTAGACTGAAGAATAAGCTCTACACGTGTTTGCAGAGACAATTCAAACTCTTAAAAAAGCAATCCTCCATAGATTATTGATTATTATAATGATGTGCCTCAGTCTCTTTGGCCTCATTATCCTTGTGTCCTTTCAGAACAGGTTATCCACAGTGTATGTGTGTGCGGACCAGGCCTCACAGACCATGTGTCCTTTCAAACCAGGTTATACACAGTGTATGTGTGGGTTGACCTGGCCTTACACACCATGTGTCCTTTCAAACCAGGTTATACACAGTGTATGTGTGTGTTGACCTGGCCTTACACACCATGTGTCCTTTCAGAACAGGTTATCCACAGTGTATGTGTGTGTTGACCTGGCCTTACACACCATGTGTCCTTTCAAACCAGGTTATACACAGTGTATGTGTGTGCGGACCAGGCCTCACAGACCATGTGTCCTTTCAAACCAGGTTATACACAGTGTATGTGTGTGCGGACCAGGCCTCACAGACCATGTGTCCTTTCAAACCAGGTTATACATAGTGTGTGTGTGTATGATGACATCACTGACCTTGTAAACCACACTGTCCTTATAGACCGTGTTTTTGAAAAGTCTTTACAAACCCCTGAAAAGTCTTGAAAACAGTCATTTTTTATATCTCAGTGCAGCAAAGGAAATCTTTAAATTTTAAGCCGTGTATAGGTTCTGTGATTTTTTTCATGATCATTGATATGATTTTTGAGGCTCTAGCACCACGGGAACCCAGTGTCCCCGTATACCTATGTACAGTCTGGTTTAAAGGGATTTTAGAAAAAATGTCCTTACAACGTCTCAAACGCGTATGTGTGTGTGTGTGTGTGTGTGTGTGTGTGTGTGTGTGTGTGTGTGTGTGTGTGTGTGTGTGTGTGTGTGTGTGCGCGTGTGTATAAATGGTTGGTGGTGGTCGGAGGTTGCCTCACTTCTGTCAGTGTGCCCCAGGGCAGCTGTGGCTGCAATAGTAGTTTATCACCACCGTGTATGAAGTGAATAATGACATGTGTCTTTGAGAGTCCAGAAAAGCGCTGTATAAAACCATCCATCCATCTGCTTCCCTTTAATCCATTTCTGGGTCGGGGGGGTGGCAGTCAGAGCTGCACCCAGTCAGAGCACCAGCCCCTCACCGATCCTCCTGCAGGTGGTCCACAGGAGCTGAGATCTTTCAGCGGGGGCTTCAGGCAAAGTTGGGTTAAGTGTCTTGCCCCAAAACAACAGTAACACATGAGAACCAACCGATCTCGGTGAGAGCCTTGACTGTTGTGAAAGTCATTCCCAAAGTCATCGGAGAAAGGAGCAGAGACTGAAAGGCGTTTAAACACGTCCAGTTCAGGAGGTGAGCAGTGACATTACCTCGGCCCTCTCCACGTCGTGTCCTGTACAAATAACATTTATGGAAGCGGTAACCGCAGCTTTGTACGGCTCAGAAAAAAACCTTTCTGGGCCTGTGGGAGCAGTCAGGTCAGGGTTTTCTAATTGGATTTATAAAACACAAAAGTGTCTATGCACCGCAAGACTACACACAGCACTGTTGCAAGACCAATTCAGCCTTCAGAGGAAGTTTCAGTTTGGACAATGAAGCTGCAAATGTAGTGACTGTAGAGATTAGAAAAGCGAGACAACCAGTCTGTGCCATCGGCCCCTCCCACCACCACCAACCATTCACACACACACCAGACTCATTCTAGGCAATGGGGGTGAAGTGTCTTGCCCAAGGACACAACGGCAGTTTGGCACTTTACAGCCGCAGCTGCCCCACTGTGGCTGGTGTTCCCAAAGGTTAAGTGTCTTGCCCAAGGACACGATGACAGCAGACAGTGGGAGTCTGTGGAGAAAGTCTTGGGGTGGACTCGAACCCACGATGCGTGAGTGAGTTCTTAATCATACGTGTGGTTTGGGGTGGGTCTGTTGGGTGGTCGGGGGAGGGCTCATGGGCAGGATTGTTTTTAACCAAACTGTAAAGAACTGTTGCATTTGATGGATTGATTGAAATGCAGAGAAGCGTCCGGCGGTTGTTAAAAAGACCTGGTTTGAAAGACCTGGGAACTGGACCAGAGTTTACGGATGGCTAAGGCCAGGCCTACACTGTCCGGTAAAGCCTAGTTCACATGACAGGATAATTAGGCCAATTTAAGACCCGATTTACCCATAACGACAATCTTAAGAACGCTCCGATTTTCGTAAAAAAATGTGATGGATTTTCCATATGTGGTGTGTTAAGACTGTGCTCGTCACTTGGAAGGACTTTGGGACTGCTCCGATCTCAAATTGGGGATATCCAATTAGTTGGATTGTTTTGGCCCGATTTCTCTTCGTGTGTGGTGTCCTCCGGGGACAGACGAGCGCGTTGCCATGACTGCAGCGTGTAGCCAATCAGAAGACGAGGAAACACCGGAAAAAAATCAGAACATTCAGCGGCGTGGCGCATAATATATATAGTCCATGCTCGGGTTGTCTCCATTTCTTTGACCGTCGCCTTTTCCTTTGATAACACTTTTTTCTGTTAAAAACAAACAAACTATCGCCACTGCATCCTCTTCGTCCGCCATGATTGTTTACTCTGAAGTCACGCTCGATCTCGAGAGATTTTGTGTGATTTCCGTCTGACCTGGGAATGCTCGGGGGTAAATCGGTTTGTGTGTAGTTTGAATTGATTTTTTATCTCCGTGTGCGGGGGTCTCTCAGGTTAGAAAATCGGCCGACAATTTGAAAATTGTATCGTGTGAACCAGGCTTTTTGCAGTGTTAGCCTGGCAAGAGCTAACACTAAACAAAACAAAAGAGCATTTCAGTGTGAAAAGACATGATTTGGGGGTTTGTCTTCATCTTTCAGGTCTGGTCAGGATTTCAGTCGGCAAAGTCTTTAGTGACTTAGAGCTGCTCTTTTGAGTCAGAGCGATGGGTCTAAAACAGCTCTAATTGTATCTCATTACTTCCTGACTTCATCCTGGATCGATGCTGGACTCTGACCCGGCTGCTTCTTATCACTCTCCTTTAAAAGAAAAAAGAACCCTGGAAACTTCAACTTTTATTCCCTGCGTGTGTGGAAGAAAAGGGTGTTTAATAATCGCAGCCAGTAACTCTGAGGGGGAGGCCTGGAGGTATGATGTGCAGAGGTTTTTATAAAATGGAATAACTACGACTGTCAGGCTGTACAATGAGAACCGCAGAGCCTGAACATGTCAATCATCTGTAAATGAGTGAATACTGTATGATTGTCCCAGATCAAACTTTGTGCTGGTTTTAGTCACCACAAAGTGTTGTTCTGAGAGTCACACCACTCGGACCTAGCGTAGTTTTAGATTTAAAGTTTAGAGGGCACCAGCAGGATAAAATCCTGCAATAATACTACCTAGATCTCTGCCTTGATCAGCCTAATAATGTGGAGGTGTAGAGGTCTAATCTGCCAGGGAAATCAGGGATTGTAATGAAGAAGCAATGACGAATAGCTGCGTAGTTTTAGTTTTATTAACTAAAGACAGGAAAGGGTAGAGTAACGAAGGATTTAGTCACATAAAACCAGAATAATTCAAATCACGTTCAAACATAACACAACAACAGCCCACACAGGGTTTAGTTTAGTCTTACTGTGAGAAGACCGGGTCGTGGATCGGGTCTCTGGCTCCGCTCCTCGCGTGTTGTGGATGTGAAGAAACACACTGCGGCTGTTCTGGATAAGATGAGAGGCCGTTGTGGTTGTTGAGGAAGGCCTTTCCTTTCAACAATGCACACGCGTTGCAGAATGTGCGCGTACGGCTGTCCTTAACAGAACGGGTTGGTGAGTGTCCAGTGGGAGTCCAAAACATCGCCTGCTGTACTTTGCGTTACGATCCGGAGAGGGAGAGAGAGAGTTCAGTTCTTTGAACGGAGGGTTAAACAGTCACGCTTGCCTGGCCGCGGCTTGTACGTTGAGTCCAGCTCAAAAATACACGTGACAAAGAACCAGAGTTACAGAGAGCAGGTTTTAAAGTGCACGTTAACATGAAGTTACGTTTCCAAGAGAGCGTTTCTGCGTCTGCACCGGCCTCTTAAGCTCTGGGCCTGGGGGCGTGGTTTCAGGCGTGCACTTCCTGTTTAGCAGAAACTTAATAAAACGTACAACTTCTAGCACACACATGTTCTTTTGACATAGGACCACACAATTTCATCACAGACAAAAATAAACATGCTTTGGTTAAGGTTATGACAAAACAATGTATTATTCACAGTCCGCTACAGATGTATTGGCGTCCCGCGTCCGCTAGGGGGTGGTAGAGTATAATCCAAAGTCTCTGGCTGCCTGTCTATCAGGCCCTGTCCTGTGGAGGCCACATGACCCTTCTGAGGTGATAACACGGCCTCTTTGAAGTAGAAGTTCCTTTGTCTTTGGGTTGGTTTATTTGTGTCCCACGAGGGGGTGATAGCAGTTGTTTGAAGTGACTGAGGTGATGGCAGACGGCCCCATTTCCTCTGTGGGGTCTGGAGACAGTGGTATGGGGAAAACAGAGCCTTTTGTCTTGTAATTTAATTATTGTTTGGTTCGCGAGGCTCTGTGGCTGGACTTCTTATCCTACAATACTGTGATCATGAACATGTCAATCATCTGTAAATGAGTGATACTGAATTTATATGTATCTATGCGTCTGATTTAGAAAGATAGAAAAATAGGAGCTACTTCTTATGTATATTTTGTGTGCTCCTACTTTTCTTTTTACATTTATACACAGAAGATTTGTAAAAAAAAAAAAAAAACAAACAGGGAAACAGACAAAGTATGAAGACTTCCAACTGTTTAAGAGGTTTGAGTCCACCACGAGACCTTCTTCACGACTCACTGATGTCTGCTGTCATTGTGTCCTTGGGCAAGACACTTAACCTCACTTTGCCTGAAGCCCCTGCTACAAGATCAAGGCTGCAGTGGTATAAGTGCAGCTCTGACTACCCCCCCGGCTTAAAATACATATAACATTTAAATCTAAAATCTTAAATACTTTTACACTAAATTTGGCTTTTCAAGTAAATCCTTCAGAAACCTCTGCTTTTGGGAATGTGAAGTGAAGTAAAAGAGTGGATCTGAGAGAAGACAAGAAACCCGTTACTGGTGCCACAGTGACCAATAACTAAATTAATATAATAAAATATAATATATTAGGGCTGCACGATATATCGAAATAATATCGTCATCACAATATTGGTGCGTGCGATATCCATATCAAAAATGTGCGCCATATTTTTTCTTGTTTTGTTGTTTTTATTAAAGACAACAAAAACGACGGACATCAACATTCAACAAATGCAACAAACAAACAAACAAGTATATAAATATATGCGTTTGAATGTCATGTTTTTGTTTTTGTCTCTTGCGTGTCAATGCAGATGCAATTTTAGGTGAAAGAAAAAAAGATATTAAAAGATAATATTAAAAAAATTGTTATCGTTATCGCAATGCTAAACACTCATATAGCTGTAATTTCCAATATCGTGCAGCCCTATAATCTGTAACGTTTGTTGTGTTTGAAGCGTGCTCAGTCTCTGTCTCTGCTTTAGGGTCCAACACACAACCTTAACAACGTTACCATAACAAATAGACACGAATAACACCTCTGTCTTTAGCTTAATGAGTACCAAAACTCTGACTTTGACATAATAAGAAGCAAGTGTAAGTATTTTCTCAAAACCCATTCACACATGAAAAAAGTGTCCCGTAACATTAGCCGCTGCTATGAACTCTGTGCCCAGGTCTGGAAAACTGCTCCACGATCCCTTCCTTTAGTAATTAGCATTTCCATTACACATTCACAGGGAGCGGCGTGTGTCCTTAATAGATGTGTTATTCATTCTGCGTCTGAAGGAGCAATTACACGCCTGATTAATTGTTAAATACCATGGGCCTTCCAGACGCAATGTGCTGTGTTGCTAATTAGCATGTTTCTTTTGTGTTTTTAATTTGGGGAGGGCATCGGTGTCGGGGGCCAAAGTCTCTCTGGGGTCAGACCGAGCAAGAGGCGGCGGAGGTGAAAGACATTACAGGAGCAGTCGGCTGTGAAATGTTTTTATTGTGTGGTGTAAGTGTGTGCGTGCATATGTGTGTGTGTGTGTGTGCGTGCATATGTGTGTGTGCATGTGTGTATGTGTGTGCATATGTGTGCGTATGTGTGTGTGTGTTCATGGTTCATTTCGTGTTTGGTGAAAGTCGTATGACATAAGTGTAAACAGCAAAAGGCCTCCAGCTTTGTCTGTGCCAGTGTCACTGATAATAATTCACTTTGTCACTTTACCTGTTATTGTTGCATACAGCCAACCCAAATTGCTTCACATCAACATTTAAAACCAATTTAAAAACACACTGTAAAATCAAATACAAAAGACATTTAAGAAAATGAATAAATATACATATGTATATATCAATAATACAATTATGATCAGTTTCCTGTTGATCGGTCGTAGGCACGGCTGAAAATAACTGTTTTCAGCCTTTACTTGAATATAGCTAAGGTAGCCTGTCTCACACCTTCGGGAAGACTGTTCCAGATTCTAGGTGCATAGGTCTGGAGCACTGCCTCCCCATGTCTAGTCCCAACTCTGGGCATCAACAGGAGGCCAGTCCCCGCGCTCCTCCTTACTGCGTTACTATGTCATTTACTAGTCACTTTACCTGTTATTAAACCTGCTGACATTGTTCAAATATACACATCTGTAAATACCTCTGAACCAACTTATAGCTTTTATTCTAATCTATTTACTATCTTATTTTTGTATTATCTATTGTCTTAAATAATCGACCCTGTTGAAGGAAACCAGTCCGACCCTCAGGTTGTCCATCCATCCATCCATTTTCTACCCTTTAATCCATTTCTGGGTCAGGGGGGTGGCAGTCAGAGATGCCACCCAAGTCTCATAGCACCAGCCCCTCACTGACCCTCTGCAGGTGGTGAGTCCACAGGAGGACGGCTGCTCTCTGTGTGTGAGCATAGCCTTGATCTTTCAGTGGGGGCTTTGGGCAAAGTGGGGTTAAGTGTCTTGCCCAAGGACACAACGACAGCAGTCATCAGTGGGAGTCGGTGGAGAAGGTGCAGAGGTGGGAAATGAACCCACGACCTTCTGGCCTTAAGGCCAATGCTCTACCAACTGAGCTACTGTCGCCCCACCCTCAGGTTGTATCCCCTTAAAACAATGATGATAATAATAATGAATAGGTTTTATACAGCACTTTTCTGGACACTCAAAGACGCTTCTCATGTCATTATTCTTTCTCTCCAAACACGGTGGTGATAAACTACTGTAGCCACAGCTGCCCTGGGGCACACTGACAGAAGCGAGGCAATCAGTCTGTGCCATCGGCCCCTCCCACCACCACCAACCATTCACACACACACCAGACTCATTCTAATGGGGCTGAAGTGTCTTGCCTAAGGACATAACCACAGTTTGGCACTTTACAGCCGCCCCACTGTGGTACCTGCTGTTCCCAGAAGTTAAGTGTCTTGCCCAAGGACACAACGACAGCAGACGTCAGTGGGAGTCGGTGGGGAAATTATTGTGGTGGACTCGAACCTACAACCTTCAGGCTCAAAGGCCAATGCTTTACCAACTGAGCTAATGTTTTTTAGCCTCTGATGTATTTGACTTTGACGTCCCTGTCCTGAAACTACATACTACATACTATGCATACTACATACTACATACTAAATACTACATATTACATATTACATACTATACATACTATACATACTATACATACTACATACTACATACTAAATACTACATATCACATATTACATACTATACATACTATACATACTATACATACTACATACTACATACTATACATACTACATATTACATACTATACATACTATACATACTACATACTACATACTACATACTATACATACTACATACTACATACAGTGTGAAATGACTTGGATCTAACCCAATGTGTAAAGTTTATATTCAGGGAGCAGCACAAGGACATTGTATTCTCTTCTTGAGTTAATGAAGATGTTGAAAGTGTCAGTAAAGCCCTGGAGACGGCTAACATTGAGAACACACGTTTTAAAGTCGGTAGTGTTTTAATCAGAGGAGCCCAACAGATGGTTCAGGGGCTTGTGTTCAATCTGTCTACATAGACCTGAACCAATGAGATCATTAGCACCTATAATCTAATCTAATCTAATCTACATGTATTATACATCCACGCAGCTGAACAATGTCGAGATCAGAGATAATTTCCACAGGTTATCATGACCATAAATACCACAGCATGATGTTCATCCAGAGACCATAGAAAGTGTCTCCGTTCCCTGAAGAAGCCAATTCAAAGATGGATCCAAAAATCTTAAATCTGGAGCAAAACTCTCTCATAGCAACTGCCTAGTAACGGGTCACAGCAGCAGAGGTGGTGCCGTCTCTGGGTGGAGCAGCCAAAGAGCCAGACATGTTTCCCATGGCGCTATGTTCAAGGACGGAATTTTTCTATGGCCCTAAAACATAATATTATTTGTCACTGAGGAATTAACAAAACTGTCGATTCAATAACAACTGCTGTGACTTGTCCTGCTCCACCCAGAGGCTACTCCACCTCTGCTGCTGTGACCCGTCCTGCTCCACCCAGAGGCTACTCCACCTCTGCTGCTGTGACCCGTCCTGCTCCACCCAGAGGCTACTCCACCTCTGCTGCTGTGACCCGTCCTGCTCCACCCAGAGGCTACTCCACCTCTGCTGCTGTGACCTGTCCTGCTCCACCCAGAGGCTACTCCACCTCTGCTGCTGTGACCTGTCCTGCTCCACCCAGAGGCTACTCCACCTCTGCTGCTGTGACCTGTCCTGCTCCACCCAGAGGCTACTCCACCTCTGCTGCTGTGACCTGTCCTGCTCCACCCAGAGGCTACTCCACCTCTGCTGCTGTGACCCGTCCTGCTCCACCCAGAGGCTACTCCACCTCTGCTGCTGTGACCCGTCCTGCTCCACCCAGAGGCTACTCCACCTCTGCTGCTGTGACCTGAAGGGCTGTTGCTGATTATTACAATTTTAAGCTTTTCAGAATGATCCATTTTATTTTTTTACTTTTGCTGCTGCTGGACACCTGAATTTCTCCTACGGGGATCAATAAAGTATCTTTCTAATAGATCAGGGAACCAAACCGTTTAAACACAAGTCATGTAATAATAACAAACATATAGCATGATGATGCATGTCTATAAATGTCTTTAAATGTCTTTAAAGATGTGACAGTGATCTCCAAGCACTGCTCACCTGCTCTGGAATATCTTTTCATTCATTGTAAACCATTTTACTCCCCTCGTGAAATTGTTTCATTCATTCTTGCCTCTGTTTACATACCGCCATGCGCGGACGCAGAGCAAGTACTGTGTATGGAACGCTTATACCCGGACTCTCTGATTATTATCCTGGGGGATTTTAATAAGGGAAACTTGAGCCAGGAATTACCCAAATACAGACAGTTTATCAAATGCCCGACCAGAGAGGAGAACACTCTGGATCACTGTTACACCACCGTGCGCGGAGCTTTTCGCGCTGTTCCCAAAGCAGCCCTCGGCTTCTCAGATCACTCCATGATACATCTGGTTCCTGCTTACAGACAGAGACTAAAGCTCTCAAAACCTGCAGTGAGGAGCTCCAAAGTGTGGTCTGATGAAGCTGTGGAAGAGCTGCATGCATGGAATCTACAGACTGGGACCTTTTCAGAGCTGCCACAGATAGTTTGGATGAATACACGGACACTGTGACGTCATACATTCACTTCAGTGAGGATAGCATCTTTCCAAGGAGGCGCATGCCAGATCTATTGTACATATTTTTAGTGGTAGGGGAAACCGGTGCACCCGGAGGAAACCTACGCAGACACGGGGAGAACATGCAAACTCCACTCAGAAAGGCCCTGGTCCGACCGGGATTCGAACCCAGGACCTTCTTGCTGAGAGGCGAGAGTGCTATCCACTCAGCCACCGTGCCGCTCTCGGATTATAAATACAGGAGCCCCACAGGGCTGTGTTCTTTCTCCCCTGCTCTTCTCCCTGTACACCAACCACTGCACCTCCAGCCACGACTCCGTGAAGCTGATCAAGTTCACAGACGACACCACCCTCATTGGACTCATCTCCAACAACGATGAGTCCGCCTACAGGAGGGAGGTGGACCGGCTGGTGTCCTGGTGTCTCCTACAGGAGGGAGGTGGACCGGCTGGTGTCCTGGTGTCTCCTACAGGAGGGAGGTGGACCGGCTGGTGTCCTGGTGTCTCCTACAGGAGGGAGGTGGACCGGCTGGTGTCCTGGTGTCTCCTACAGGAGGGAGGTGGACCGGCTGGTGTCCTGGTGTCTCCTACAGGAGGGAGGTGGACCGGCTGGTGTCCTGGTGTCTCCTACAGGAGGGAGGTGGACCGGCTGGTGCCCTGGTGTCTCCTACAGGAGGGAGGTGGACCGGCTGGTGTCCTGGTGTCTCCTACAGGAGGGAGGTGGACCGGCTGGTGTCCTGGTGTCTCCTACAGGAGGGAGGTGGACCGGCTGGTGTCCTGGTGTCTCCTACAGGAGGGAGGTGGACCGGCTGGTGTCCTGGTGTCTCCTACAGGAGGGAGGTGGACCGGCTGGTGTCCTGGTGCAGTGGTAACAACCTGGAGCTGAACGCCCAGAAGACAGTGGAGATGATTGTGGACTTCAGGAAGAGCACTGTCCCCCCGCCCCCACCCTCCGTGATGGACTCCCCCATCACCTCTGTGGAGTCCTTCCGTTTCCTGGGCACCACCATCACCCAGGACCTCAAGTGGGAGCCGACCATCAGCTCCTCATCAAGAAGGCCCAGCAGAGGATGTACTTCCTGCGGCAGCTCAGGAAAGCCAAGCTGCCTGCACAGATGTTGGTGCAGTTCTACACGGCCATCGAGTCCATCCTCACCTCCTCCATCCCCTCCTCCATCACCTCCTCCATCACCTCCTCCATCACCTCCTCCATCACCTCCTCCATCACCTCCTCCATCACCTCCTCCATCACCTCCTCCATCACCTCCTCCGTCACCGTGTGGTTGGCTGGAGCCACAGTCAGGGACAAACAGAGACTACAGTGCATTGTGCGCTCTGCAGAGGAAGTGATCGGCCGCAGCCTTCCATCGCTGCAGGACCTGTACGTCGCCCGAGCTCGAGGCCGGGCTGGTCGTATCACAGCCGACCCCTCTCACCTGCACATGGACTATTCCAACCACTCCCCTCTCACCTGCACATGGACTATTCCAACCACTCCCCTCTCACCCTGCACATAGACTCTTCCAACCACTCCCCTCTCACCCTGCACATGGACTATTCCAACCACTCCCCTCTCACCTGCACATGGACTATTCCAACCACTCCCCTCTCACCTGCACATGGACTCTTCCAACCACTCCCCTCTCACCTGCACATGGACTATTCCAACCACTCCCCTCTCACCCTGCACATGGACTATTCCAACCACTCCCCTCTCACCTGCACATGGACTATTCCAACCACTCCCCTCTCACCTGCACATGGACTATTCCAACCACTCACCTCTCACCTGCACATGGACTATTCCAACCACTCCCCTCAGGCAGGAGGCTGCGGTCCATCAGGACTAGAACCTCCCGCCACAAGAACAGTTTCTTCCCCTCTGCTGTTGGACTCTTGAACACTTCTTAACCTGTCCCCCCGCCCTTTATAAAGTCACTTTACTGCCCATCATACGTCACTTTACTTCACTGTACTGCTGTCACCTTACATTGTGTGCACCATGTGCACTTGGATATTGTAAATAGTAACTGTAACTCTATTTTAAATTTAAATTTATTCTTTAGAAGTGTTTTTTATTCTTATTTTTATTATCTCTTTCTGACTGTTGCACTGAGCCAAAGCAATTTCCAAGTCTGTGACCTCCTGTTACTTACGTGGCAATAAAAATGAGTCTGATTCTGTCTAAATGTCCTGAATCATCACTGTCCTTAGACCCTCAGGCAAAAATCCCAGTGAGAAAAAGTGATAAAGGTCGGAGAAACGGGGAGATCCAGACGGACGGGCTGTAGATCCACACAGATGGGCTGTAGATCCACACAGACGGGCTGTAGATCCACACAGACGGCTGTAGATCCAGACAGACGGGCTGTAGATCCAGACAGACGGGCTGTAGATCCACACAGACGGCTGTAGATCCACACAGACGGCTGTAGATCCAGACAGACGGGCTGTAGATCCACACAGACGGCTGTAGATCCACACAGACGGCTGTAGATCCAGACAGACGGGCTGTAGATCCACACAGACGGGCTGTAGATCCACACAGACTGGCTGTAGATCCACACAGACGGCTGTAGATCCACACAGACGGGCTGTAGATCCAGACAGACGGGCTGTAGATCCACACAGACGGCTGTAGATCCACACAGACGGCTGTAGATCCAGACAGACGGGCTGTAGATCCACACAGACTGGCTGTAGATCCAGACAGACGGGCTGTAGATCCACACAGACGGCTGTAGATCCACACAGACGGCTGTAGATCCAGACAGACGGGCTGTAGATCCACACAGACGGGCTGTAGATCCACACAGACTGGCTGTAGATCCACACAGACGGCTGTAGATCCAGACAGACGGGCTGTAGGTCCACACAGACGGGCTGTAGATCCACACAGACGGGCTGTAGATCCACACAGACTGGCTGTAGATCCACACAGACGGCTGTAGATCCACACAGACTGGCTGTAGATCCACACAGACGGCTGTAGATCCACACAGACTGGCTGTAGATCCACACAGACGGCTGTAGATCCACACAGACGGCTGTAGATCCACACAGACGGGCTGTAGATCCACACAGACGGCTGTAGATCCACACAGACGGGCTGTAGATCCACACAGACTGGCTGTAGATCCACACAGACGGCTGTAGATCCACACAGACTGGCTGTAGATCCACACAGACGGCTGTAGATCCACACAGACTGGCTGTAGATCCACACAGACGGCTGTAGATCCACACAGACTGGCTGTAGATCCACACAGACTGGCTGTAGATCCACACAGACGGCTGTAGATCCACACAGACTGGCTGTAGATCCACACAGACGGGCTGTAGATCCAGACAGACGGGCTGTAGATCCACACAGACTGGCTGTAGATCCACACAGACGGCTGTAGATCCACACAGACGGCTGTAGATCCAGACAGACTGGCTGTAGATCCACACAGACGGGCTGTAGATCCACACAGACTGGCTGTAGATCCACACAGACGGGCTGTAGATCCACACAGACGGGCTGTAGATCCACACAGACTGGCTGTAGATCCACACAGACGGCTGTAGATCCACACAGACTGGCTGTAGATCCACACAGACGGCTGTAGATCCACACAGACTGGCTGTAGATCCACACAGACTGGCTGTAGATCCACACAGACGGCTGTAGATCCACACAGACGGCTGTAGATCCACACAGACGGGCTGTAGATCCACACAGACGGCTGTAGATCCACACAGACTGGCTGTAGATCCACACAGACGGCTGTAGATCCACACAGACGGCTGTAGATCCACACAGACGGGCTGTAGATCCACACAGACGGGCTGTAGATCCACACAGACGGCTGTAGATCCACACAGACGGGCTGTAGATCCACACAGACGGGCTGTAGATCCACACAGACTGGCTGTAGATCCAGACAGACTGGCTGTAGATCCACACAGACGGGCTGTAGATCCACACAGACTGGCTGTAGATCCACACAGACGGGCTGTAGATCCAGGTCTCTGTAGCTGCAGAATGATGTCTGAAGCTGGACAGAATGCGACTGATTAGTTTTTCATGTCTAGATTTACAAATACAATGTAAAAGATAAAACCAGGATCAGGTAGAGCGGTAAACCAAATGCTGTTAATCCTGGACTACTCATCCTGGACTACATCTGTGATCCGGTTTCTTTTCAGCTCTGCTCCACAGTCAGTTGGTGCCAGGTTTTTCTTCCAGTCCGATGGTGACTTTCACTTGGACTGAAATTTGATACTTACCAGTTTTTTGCGAGCCTGTACTTACCTTTTCTCCTCTGCTCCCAGCTCCAGCCTGTGACTGCTGCCATAACCCTCTCCATTCTCTCCTGAGGACTGTTCTGCCCAAAACTGTTTTTGTAAAGTTTAACTCATCCTTCCTGCGAAATGGACTTTTTTGAGCTTTCAACATTGTTTCCACATCAAAAAATATGCTGAAAATATGTAACTTTACAACGAAATAGCTGTGTTTGCAGACAATCATTTTCTAAATGATACAAAACAAATCAAATTCCTCCCTCTGGTGGCAGCATATGGAGTTACAGACAGAAAGCTTTTTTCGCCGTTCATACTTGTTTCAACATGTATTTTCTAAGATATTATTTCACATTCTAAAACAAGAAATGACAAAAATTCTCAGTACCAATAAAATTGCCAAAATTAATATGCAATATTATTTTTGGCAATGAGAGACATGAATGAAAGATACCTTATTACCTGATACCTTTATTAGTCCCACAGTTTTCAGTTCAGTTGACAAAATATGGCAGATTGTTGGCGGCGGTTCTAAAGTTCTTTGCTGAAACCTCAAGAGGCTCCAGGTGCAGCTGTTCTCAGGTCACTCTGAATTATTTAGAGTTGATGGAAAATTAATGAGTGTTGATCATTAAATCAGACAATAAGGCAACAACACAAACTGGATTCTGATCCTTAAACTAATAGTTTTATGGCTTTTTAACTCTGTCCTTGTGAGAGAACAAGCAAAAAACACACTTATTTGAGCTACTTTTATAAAACAGAAATGTCAGAGCTACTACTTTTAGCAGTCAAAATACTATTGTAGTCTATATAAAAACTATGTGTATAATATACCATTGCACTGTACAGTGTCCAGCATTAATGAACAGATTTATAGGAATGTATATAGAATTTATAAGAATAGATATGTAATGACTCAAATATGATTCAGTATCATGTGATAAACTCTTGAATCCGATCCTGCACTGACACTGGAGCTGGACCAGGGGAATCAGACTGGTTTCTCAAAGGGCTGGTGTGGCTGCAGGTTTTCATCCCAATCAAGCGGGAGCACACCAGACCCCATTCTACTTGGTTGGTGTTCTCCTCCTGCAGCCACAATGGTCCTTTGAGGACTGGTCTGACACTGCTGCACAAGGGCCTCCACTTTACACTTGCTTCTTATTATGCAAAGGCAGAGATTTCCATCCATCCATCCATTTTCTTCCCCTTAATCCATCTCTGGGTCGGGGGGGTGGCAGCCAGAGCTGCACCCAGTACACTTAGCACCAGCCCCTCACTGATCCTCCTGCAGGTGGTGAGTCCACAGGAGCTGAGATCTTTCAATGGGAGCTTGGACACAACGACAGCAGTCATCAGTGGGAGTCGTGAAGTGGGTCTTATGGTGGGCTCGAACCCACGACCTTCAGGCCCAAAGGCCAATGCTCTACCAACTGAGCTACTGTCGCCCCCATTATGCAAAGGCAGAGATTTTATACTTCTTTATTATGAAGATGAAAGAGATTTTATACTTTGTTCTTTTGATGCTAGAGTTAAAGATTTTATAAAAAATGTCATGTGCTGTGTGCTTCTCATTCCTACTGTTCTGTAACTGGTGATGCAACACTGAACACATGTCCCCTCTTTGGGACAAATAAAGGGTCTCACCCAAGCCCTTAAAATGTTCCCATGCCCTAGATTTAGTCCGTGTCTGCGGGGTTGTAGGGTGTCCCAATACTTAGTAATCAGAGGCGAGGGCACTCACAGGAAATGACATCACGCCTCTCCATGCGTACAGCCCATCGGATTTGTCTTCAGCTTTGTGTAGATTTATAAATTTCTAGATCTCGTTCCGTATTTACGCAAAACTGTTTCAAAATGATACGCTGTTTTGTCTATGTCTGGACAGGGCCTTAGATGCTAAAAATCTACCAGAAAATGAGAAAAATTTGCTTTAACTTTTGAGTTAGCAGAGTGAGAGGCCGGAGACAGACTTCTGCTGTTTACTCGCCCAAAGTCGCACTCAGGTCGTTTTGCCGCGCGATGTCAGCCTTTCACGGAGTCATGCATATTTTACACAAAGACTAATCTAAAATGTAAACGAGAGCAAGGGTTCTATTAAAACGTCAGGGATTGTTCAACCTTCAGCCTGAGCCGCAGACCACATACAGCTGTATATCTGTCTTGGAAATTATATGGATTTTTTTTGCAAATGACTGAATGAGTATGAGTGAGAGGTTACTGTTTGTGGCTGTAAAAACAAAATAGAAAAACATATCTTTTTGCATATTGAATCGACCCAGACGTACATGTAGGAAATGATCATGGACCAGAGTTTACACATGGTAAGACCAGACGTGCATGTAGGAAATCAGAATCAGAATCAGAATATTTTGTATTGCCACGTAAGTAACAGGAAGTCACAGACTTGGAAATTGCTTTGGCTCAGTGCAACAGTCAGAAAGAGATAATAAAAAAAGAATAAAAAGGAATAAATTTAAATTTAAAATAGAGTTACAGTTACTATTTACAATATACAAGTGCACATGGTGCACACAATGTAAGGTGACAGCAGTACAGTGAAGTAAAGTGACGTATGATGGGCAGTAAAGTGACTTTATAAAGGGTGGGGGGACAGGTTAAGAAGTGTTCAAGAGTCCAACAGCAGAGGGGAAGAAACTGTTCTTGTGGCGGGAGGTTCTAGTCCTGATGGACCGCAGCCTCCTGCCTGAGGGGAGTGGTTGGAATAGTCCATGTGCAGGTGAGAGGGGACTGGTTGGAATAGTCCATGTGCAGGGTGAGAGGGGAGTGGTTGGAATAGTCCATGTGCAGGTGATCGGGGAGTGGTTGGAATAGTCCATGTGCAGGTGAGAGGGGAGTGGTTGGAATAGTCCATGTGCAGGTGAGAGGGGAGTGGTTGGAATAGTCCATGTGCAGGTGAGAGGGGAGTGGTTGGAATAGTCCATGTGCAGGTGAGAGGGGAGTGGTTGGAATAGTCCATGTGCAGGTGAGAGGGGTCGGCTGTGATACGACCAGCCCGGCCTCGAGCTCGGGCGACGTACAGGTCCTGCAGCGATGGAAGGCTGCGGCCGATCACTTCCTCTGCAGAGCGCACAATGCACTGTAGTCTCTGTTTGTCCCTGACTGTGGCTCCAGCGAACCACACGGTGATGGAGGAGGTGAAGGAGGAGGTGATGGAGGAGGTGATGGAGGAGGTGATGGAGGAGGTGATGGACTCGATGATGGCCGTGTAGAACTGCAGCTTGGCTTTCCTGAGCTGCCGCAGGAAGTACATCCTCTGCTGGGCCTTCTTGATGAGGGAGCTGATGGTCGGCTCCCACTTGAGGTCCTGGGTGATGGTGGTGCCCAGGAAACGGAAGGACTCCACAGAGGTGATGGGGGAGTCCATCACGGAGGGTGGGGGCGGGGGGACAGTGCTCTTCCTGAAGTCCACAATCATCTCCACTGTCTTCTGGGCGTTCAGCTCCAGGTTGTTACCACTGCACCAGGACACCAGCCGGTCCACCTCCCTCCTGTAGGAGACACCAGGACACCAGCCGGTCCACCTCCCTCCTGTAGGAGACACCAGGACACCAGCCGGTCCACCTCCCTCCTGTAGGAGACACCAGGACACCAGCCGGTCCACCTCCCTCCTGTAGGAGACACCAGGACACCAGCCGGTCCACCTCCCTCCTGTAGGCGGACTCATCGTTGTTGGAGATGAGTCCAATGAGGGTGGTGTCGTCCGCGAACTTGATCAGCTTCACGGAGTCGTGGCTGGAGGTGCAGTGGTTGGTGTACAGGGAGAAGAGCAGGGGAGAAAGAACACAGCCCTGTGGGGCTCCTGTATTTATAATCCGAGAGTCCGAGACATTCTTCCCCAGACGCACTCGCTGCTTCCTGTCCGTCAGGAAGTCAGTGATCCACCTGCAGGTGGAATCGGGCACGTTGAGCTGGGAGAGCTTGTCCTGGAGCAGGGATGGCAGGATTGTGTTGAAGGCAGAGCTGAAGTCCACGAACAGGACCCTGGCGTAGGTCCCCGGGGAGTCCAGGTGCTGTAGGATGTGGTGGAGGGCCAGGTTAATGGCGTCGTCTACAGATCTGTTGGCTCTGTAGGCGAACTGCAGGGGGTCCAGGAGGGGGGAGGTGAGGGACTTGAGATGGGAGAGAACCAGGCGTTCAAATGACTTCATGACGACAGACGTAAGTGCTACAGGTCTGTAGTCATTGAGTCCTGTGATCCTGGGCTTCTTCGGGGACGGGGACAATGATGGAGGATTTGAAGCAGGCCGGGACATGGCAGGACTGCAGAGAGGTGTTGAAAATGTCCGTGAACACAGGAGTAAGCTCACTGGCGCAGTGTCTCCGAGTGGCCGGAGACACGTGGTCCGGGCCAGGAGCTTTGCGGGGGTGCAGCCTCAGGAAGAGTTGTTTATTCTCTTTAGCGGCTATTGTTAGGCTGGGGGCAGGGCTGATGGGTGGGTCGTTAGAGTAGTGGGGGGTGGGGGAGGGAGAGGTGTCAGGGGCAGCATCAAAGCGACTGAAAAATAAGTTCAGATCGTCAGCTAGCTTGTGGTCGTCAGCACAGGGGGGGGCTTTGGGTTTGTAGTTGGTGATCTCCCGTAGGCCCCTCCAGACAGAAGCAGTATCGTTGTTACCAAACTGCTCCTGTAGTCGTTCTCTGTGCCGGGACTTGGCTGCTTTCAGTTCTCTCCTGAACTGATATTTAGCTGCTTTGTATGATCATGGACCAGAGTTTACACATGGTAAGACCCGGACGTACATGTAGGAAATGATCATGGACCAGAGTTTACACATGGTAAGACCCGGACGTACATGTAGGAAATGATCATGGACCAGAGTTTACACATGGTAAGACCCAGACGTACATGTAGGAGATGATCATGGACCAGAGTTTACACATGGTAAGACCAGACGTACATGTAGGAAATGACCATGGACCAGAGTTTAAACATGGTAAGACCCGGACGTACATGTAGGAAATGATCATGGACCAGAGTTTACACATGGTAAGACCAGACGTACATGTAGGAGATGATCATGGACCAGAGTTTACACATGGTAAGACCCAGACGTACATGTAGGAAATGATCATGGACCAGAGTTTACACATGGTAAGACCCGGACGTACATGTAGGAAATGATCATGGACCAGAGTTTACACATGGTAAGACCCAGACGTACATGTAGGAGATGATCATGGACCAGAGTTTACACATGGTAAGACCAGACGTACATGTAGGAAATGACCATGGACCAGAGTTTAAACATGGTAAGACCCGGACGTACATGTAGGAAATGATCATGGACCAGAGTTTACACATGGTAAGACCAGACGTACATGTAGGAGATGATCATGGACCAGAGTTTACACATGGTAAGACCAGACATACATGTAGGAGATGATCATGGACCAGAGTTTACACATGGTAAGACCAGACGTACATGTAGGAGATGATCATGGACCAGAGTTTACACATGGTAAGACCCAGACGTACATGTAGGAGATGATCATGGACCAGAGTTTACACATGGTAAGACCAGACGTACATGTAGGAGATGATCATGGACCAGAGTTTACACATGGTAAGACCAGACGTACATGTAGGAAATGATCATGGACCAGAGTTTACACATGGTAAGACCAGACGTACATGTAGGAGATGATCATGGACCAGAGTTTACACATGGTAAGACCAGACGTACATGTAGGAGATGATCATGGACCAGAGTTTACACATGGTAAGACCCAGACGTACATGTAGGAAATGACCATGGACCAGACATACACATGGATGAGACCAGACCAGACGAATAACGGTTCACTTAAATTTTTTTCCCCCGAATTTAGAAAAACAAATATTCTAAAAGTGAGAATGTCAGACTTTTCTGGTAAAACACAAATCTGAAATGTACAGACAGGACTTGAGCTGCCGCGATGTTGACTTATGACTGGCCCTGACAAGTTAAATGGCACCGCTGCACTTTGTACATTATACATTATGTCTGCACTTCAAATATAGATGAGACTGGCTCAGTGGGAGCAGAGGCCACAGCCAATGACTAATGCAGTGAAACCAATACTCATTATTCAAAGGGACCATGTAACGCTCCTGGTAGAGGTTCGCCAACTGCTTCACCATTGTGTTATTGCGTTGTCTGGGATGTTGCCACCTAAAAATGTACATACAGTACAAACTTATATATAGATAAATAAATCTAAATAACTAAGATTTCAGTGCATTTTTATAAAAACCTTGGCTTAGAATCACAGTCTGTATAATAGACATGGACCGAGCTAATCCACTCGTTTGCTGAGGCCTAATAGAGAAGTGCTCATGGGTGAAGTTCTTACTCACTTTGGCTTCCATTCACTTTCATACCTTGTGTCATACTCAGCATTTTGAGCTTAAAAAATATGTTTCAGAGCCCTCTATCATCCTGTTGTCAGTATTATCTTATTATGTTCTTTCGAGGTCTCTAGATGACACGTATGTTTTTCCATGTATGACGTATGTGTGACGTAAACATTGACTATATTAACCATATCCTAATATTGTTCTGTCTGAAAAAACCTGAGAAAGAACTGAGAGAAACAGACAAAACTTCCAGGTGACTTTGGTGCGTAAAGATCCCGTCTCTGTGTGGTTAATTTTCCACAAAATGACCAATGCTAACTAACTTCGGTCCTGCGCCGGACCTGTCCACGTTCAGCGTCCACTGGTCCACGTCCTGTAGCTAGCTTAGGTCCTGGATCATTAGCCTGTCCGTCCGGAGGAGCGGATCCCTTTCTCATATGGGTCTCCCTCCCTGTGGGTTTCCCTAGTTCTCCTCCAAGGTTTCTCACTTTTTCCCACTGGGTTTTTTAAGAGTTGTTCCTTGTCGATGCAGGAGGGTCTTGTTGGACAGTTAGTGTCCAACAGAAAGGATTGGTGATGATCAGGACACTTTAGCATTCTACAACATGTATGGACATTTTCTTCTGTGTGTGCTTTATATTCTTCATGTGTTTTAACTGTTGATTCTCTGACCTGTGTTGGTGATTTCAATGGTTTTGTTAAGTCCTCTGAGATGACTTCTGTTGTGACCTAGGGCTATACAAGAATAAATTGTATTGTGTGTATTGTATTGTGTAACCAATCCAGTGAATTTAGCTAGCAAATGGCAAATAGCAAATAGCTATTTGCTAATAGGCTATTTGCTAATAGGCGTAAACAGACCTTGTTCTTGAAAAATATGCAAATACTCAAGGTAATCATTTTGCAAGACACTTTTTTATTTATATTGCACCTTATATGTCCATGGAAGCTCAAGTTCTACAGATTAAAATACAATACAACAAAAATAACGGAATATAGACTCTATTTACTCTTTGGAGCAATTTTTCAACAACTCAATAGATTGGAAAGTGCATCCACAAATACAAGATGTTTAGGAGAAAACGTTTTCAGCTGGAAATAGACTGGGAAGTCACAACTGTCAAATGACTCCCATTGCAGCCTGTTTCAAAGCTTCAGATCTACACAACAGTATTACACGGTACATATTTATTTTACATACAACCCCCATAGAGTCACAGAAACACACAACTTTGCAATTCGACCTTGAAAAGAAAATGCAGCAGATGTTGTTTGTTCAACTCTATGCATTCCTATTGTTTTGTGAATCTCTCTCTCTCTTATCTCACTGTAAGATATGAAACTCTGGCCTGATTCCTGGATGCATTACCATTTAACTCACCCATCTGTCCACCGCCGCCGCCGCCACCGCCGCCACCGCCGCCACCGTCGCTGCCGTTGTTGTTTGAAAGACTTCCCCCGATCGTCCCCTCGGCAAAACGAAACGCTAAAACATTTATACAATATATGAAAGTATACTCCAAAAGCGTCACCGAGTTCAATACCAAGGCTACAGAGATATTGTTTTATCTGTTTTGTATGCAGGTACGGAAGTGGGCTCATAAGTTTGGCGTGCATTATTTATGGCGGGGAATAGATGGGGTTATTAGAGAGATGGCGTTGGCCGAGGGGCAGCGAGGAGGATATTGTAGCACTATTAGGACGCTGGTTATGGATTCAGAGTCTGGAGTTGAAAATGACCTTGGAAAGTGTATGATGCAGTAAAATTCTGCTGATGTACAAAGTATATATGCAATTCCAAGTTTGCAAACATCAAGAGAAGTCACAGGAAAGAGACGTCAAGGTTAATAATAGATTAGTTCAAGTTTCATTGTTTTTCATTTGAAATACGTGTTTTTTCAGTCGTGCATTTTGCCATGACAGGCTGGCACTGGTGGAACTTGGAAATTAAGAATAACGTTCAAAAGTCAATTTCCTTTGGCTGTCTTTCAATTCACAATAAAAAAGGAGTCCATTCAGAAAACTAAATGGACTGTAAGCCATAATTATCAATATTATAACAAATGGTAATAGATTCACATTTTAAAGTATAAAGTATGTTCTACTTCCGGGTGGATCATCAAGACTATTGGTCCTCCCAGTTGTCAATCATTCTGGTGATTCGTGCTCGTCAAATAAGACCAAAGATTTTGGTTTCAAAAAGTGGAGAGGGCGGTTCATTCCTAAAATTTGGGAAAATCCGAAAAAAAACCGTCAAGATTAATTACAAAAATAAATGAACTTTCAAACTACATTCTCATTTTCACTTGTATCAATCCCATATTATGTGAATGTTGTTTTGAATACATTTGAAATATGTATTTCAAATGAGACACAATGGTACTTTGGCATAATCGCAGAAACTTGAATTAAACTATTATTAATCTTGACGATATTGTAGCAATACCGATGTTAAACATTGCAACTTGTTTTAATCATTTATATATTTATCTTTATTGTTTCTACTGAGGAAATTGTGCTGAAGCCCTCTCCGGTATCTCTTCGCGGGCGCCACCATCGGCAAATGTTATTTTCATGGTAAAAGCAAAGGGACGTTTCTCACCCATCATCTGTCCTTCTTGGCAGGTTTTCCAGACTAATAAGTGACTTATCCCTGTACGACTGAGAGCTTACACAAACTTATGACGGTGGTTAAAAACAAGGATGTCAGTTTTACAGAATGTTACATTTTATGATGAAGTTTAGCTGTTAGAAATATGTACCATTTTAAAGTAACAATCCTTCATCAGTGCTGAAGTTGGACAAAGGAGGCATCTATTGGCCAAGGACACAACACTGAGTCATTTCTGTCTTCCACCGCTTTCTACTCACTTTTAGTACATTTAAGACAACTCAAATTCCTCAAAACAAATGTAATAATGTAATGTAACTTCTCCCATGCTTCTGTCTTGGCTTTGTGAAGTTTCCTCATACAAAAAATATACTATTTGAGCTGAAACCCAGACGCCAAACTGAATCCTACATTGTTTATAGTGTTTGGTGAACTCTCTGTTGCTGGTATGAATCTGTTGCTGGTATGAATCTGTTGCTGGTATGAATCATCAGAGATGTCAGATCAGAGAAAGTGAAGGAAGAGTGGAATGGTGAATACTGCTTACATAATAAAGGGCTGGTATCAACAAGGCATTTCACGCAACAGCTTATTTGAAAAGGGGCGCTTAAATCATTTTGAACTGCACAAAAACCTTAAGTGATATATGTTTTTAAATCGCTGCAGTGGCTCCCTATGATCGATTTGAAGGTTCTCTAATGACAAAGAGGACTGTGTTCTGGAGGTTCTTTATGAATCCAGACTTTTAAGCCAAGCTCTAAGAATAATCAATGACTCCTCCGGCCCCTGGAAAAGCCATGTTCCAGCTTCTTCCCTCTGGCAGAAGATGTTGTTCACTGCGAAACACACATCTCGGTTTGCGAACAGCTTCTTTCCACAAAATGTTTTCAATTGTTAATTTATTTCTGTTCTTGT